CTCCTAGAGAAATTGGGGAGAAACTAACTTATTACGGTCTAGAAACAAAATTAGTTGAGCACAAAAATAATCTGTATTTAGAGTTTGACCCCCTTCCTAATCGCCCTGATTTATTATCCTGATGAGGCATAATTAAAGAAATAGGAATTATATTAAATTGTCAAGTAAAACTACCTAACCCCCCAATTATAAATGAGAGCAAAGAGAAATTGGTTGAAGTAACAATTAACACAAATAACTGCTCTGAATTTTATTTAGGTCTAATAAAAAATATTAAAGTTAAAGAAAGCCCTGATTGAATAAAAGAATGGTTAGCAGCAAATAATATTCGTTCAATTAATAACGTTGTGGATATTGCTAATTTAGTAATGTTAGAAAGCGGTCAACCACTTCATATTTTTGATTATGATACCTTACCGGAAAAAAAAATAGCAGTTCGCCAAGCCCACCAAGGAGAAAAAATAACTGCTTTGAACGGCCAAGAATTAGTGCTTAACCCGGAAGATACTATAATAAGTTCTGGGGGAAAAGTTATCAGTTTAGCGGGAATTATTGGTGGCCAAGCAACTGCATTAACACTTAACACCAAAAATATTCTTATCGAATGTGCTTCTTTTAATCCTACCATCATTAAAAAAACTGCTAAACGTTTAAATATTTCTACGGCTGCTAGTATTTTTTTTTCTCGCCGAGCCAATTTATTTTTATCTCCACAACAAGTTCTTTCCCAGACTATTTCGCTTATTGCTGATACTTGTCAAGATGATTTAGATTCTAAAACAATTTTTTACTACCAAAAAAAAAGAAAAATTCCGTTAGTAGTCAACATTAGTCATGAGTTTATTATTAAAAAAGTCGGTCAATCACTAACCCAACAAACCATCGAGAATATTTGGCAGCAACTAAAATTCCCCTACCAAAAAGAAGAAAATAATTACCATATTACTATACCTTTATCGCGACCGGATATTACCATTCCCGAAGACTTGTTGGAAGAATTACTAAGGATTTATGATTATAATAAAGTAATTGGTTCACTTTCAACTATCTAAGATAAAGATGAAAAAATAACGTATAATGTAAGAGTTAAGAGAGAATGAGCAAAAACCAAGCCTTTCCTCATGAAAATTTATTCAATAAATAATTTTTACCTTAAAGAATGCTGCAATTTACTGTCCGTAAGCAAATGTGCCTTAACATCATAATTATCTAGTTGGACTAGTAAACCTTTCCAATTTAAAATTCCTTTGGCGGGCAATGGCTAGTAATTGATTTTTTTCGCGGGGTGAGTTAACAAAAGTTATAGCCTTACCGCTGGCTCCGGCTCGACCAGTTCGTCCAGTTCGATGAATGTAAAACTCACGGTTTTGGGGAAAATCATAATTAATGACATAAGCAATATCCTTAATGTCTAAACCCCGAGCTGCCACGTCGGTAGCAATTAGCAAGGAAATTTTCTTGGCTCGGAATTTCTGAAAAACCCTCGTTCTTCTATTTTGGGATAAATCACTATGAATATAGTCAACCCGCAGGCGATTGTCAAGCAAAATGTTTTTTATCTCTTCTACTTTCCTTTTAGTGTTAGCAAAAACGATTACCGAATCTGCTTGGCTGGATGAGAGAAAAGTAATTAAATTTTGATTTTTTTGCCTGGCGGAAGCAATCTCCATATAGTAGTGTTCGGTGTTGCTTGGCAGATCATCATTTTTGCTGGTAATGAGAGAAGGATTTTTAGCAAATTTGCGAGCAAACCCTTCTACTTCTGGGGAAACGGTAGCAGAAAATAGTAAAGTTTGTCGTTTTTCTGGAACCTTTTTCATTATTTTTTCAATCTCCTTTAAAAATCCTTTGCCAATCATTTCGTCAACTTCGTCTAGCACCACAAACTTCAAATGGTCCAGGTGGAAACTTTTTCTCGTAAAAATATGATCGATAATTCGACCGGGGGTTCCGATTATTACATCTACTCCTCGCCGAAAGGCCTGTAATTGTTTGTAAATTGGCTCTCCACCGTAAACTGCTGCTACTTGCAAATTACTGTGCGGAGATAATTTTCGGGCTTCTTCACTCACTTGCAGAGCCAATTCCCGAGTAGGGACTAAAATAAGCACCTGGGGCTTATAAATTACTTCCAGTTTTTCGAGAATGGGGATAAGAAAGGCTGCCGTTTTTCCGGTTCCAGTCTGGGATTGGGCAATAATGTCTTTTCCTTCTAAGACGAGAGGAATAGTTTGCAATTGGATATTAGTTAATTGGTGGTAGCCAGTTTGG